TCTTATGTGCTCAAAGTTGTTTGAACTTATGGAGGAATTTTTATACTTAATTCTTAATGGAAGCGTGAGAGCACAACTTATTTTTATGGTTAGCAAAAAAAAAAAAAAAAGATATACTTGATGTTGCTATCAAAGTCCTATCCATAGGCTATAACTGCTTTCAAAAATAATTTATTATTAGGATAAGGTTTACTTTTTTTAAGTAGGCCAGAATAAATAAATAAATATAAAACAATCTAGAAAGAAAATAATGGAAAAATTGTTAAGGAAATATTTATGCTCACACTCATAATTGATGCTATGGATTTAAACTGATAAATTATAATGTAAAAAACAGAGATCAGGTAGAGATTGGAAAATTCAGATGCAAATTTTTCCAACTTCTGATATTTGGCAGGGCAGATACAGAGGAATGTGGTTTGGGAGTGCAGTCTAAGACTCAGCAATTGCTTTGAGAAAGTCAGGGCATTAAATTAGGCATATGATATAAGCAGCATACACTGGTAAAGTGGGATTGGTTGATATGAAGTTAAAGTGTTAAGATATTGATGGTTGTTCAAACAGGAAGGATATTGTCTTCCTGAAGCTTTAATAGCAAGAATTAGTTAGGGATTCCATTCTAGGGAAAAAATGGTGCCAAGAATTGTATTTTTTGCAGGACCAAGAATGAAGTTATAGTAGGCCTAGAAGTAAGACACTGAGCCATTTAGGACTCATAACATTTTTCTGGGCATAGAATGGATCCTAGAGGAGAAGTTTGTTAGTTTTCTGTTGCTGCATAAGAAATCGGCACAGATGTAGTGACTTAAAACATCCCTTTATTAGTTCACAGGTCTCCAAGTTGGAATACTGGCATGGGGTGACTGGGTTCTCTGTTAAAGGTCTTAAATGCCTGAAATCAGTATTAAAAACCTTGTCAGATGATTCAAACATCGAATTCATGTTAGGATTGACATCATTCATCATTTCTCATGCAAGCTGTCATGTATCTTGTTCTTGGTATGAAAGGTGATATTTTGTCTGTTGAGCATTTTGGCTATTATGTTAGGATAATTTGGTTCCTGTTTAAAGTTTGTTTTTTTGTTTGTGTTGTTTAAATTTTAGCATTTTGTTTAGGTTTGGCACACAGTGCCTGTTCTACTTTTGTGGACTGTGGTTCCATGACAATCTAATTTTCAGAACCTTTGTGGTACTATTTTGGTCTATTTGATTTTTCTTGTGCAGGTGGGGTAGTACTGGTCTGTTCTTGTGCTGCTTAAGGGGCAGAAAAAGCTTCCCAGGCCAGGGCACTTGGTACTTCTAGATGGGGGAAGGGAATCTCTTGGTCCTCCTGGATGAAGAGTACTTCCCAGGCCAGGCACTTGTAATGTCAGGATCTCCCCTGACTATAAGGGATGGTGAGTATTTACCAAGTTGAGAGTTTTTTGTGGTGGGGTCCCTGTTGCTGGTAGGTACAGGAAAGTTACCTGGTATCTCTGGGTATGGGAGAGGAGTCTCAGTCCCAGCAAAGGAGGAGAGCATTTTCCAGGTGGGAGCTTTATATGGTGGGATCACTTTTGCTGGAACCCTTGGTCACCAGTATGTCTGGGTGGGGAAAGGGTACCTCAGGCCCAGTGGAGAAAGGGAGCACTTTTCCAGGTCTTTTATTATCAGCAGGGCTTTTAGTTGTTCTTCCTTACAGCTTCTGCAGAGCTTACCTCATGTTTTCAGTGGGACTCCTATTTGATCTGGTGGAGAAAGAGCCTGTCTGAGCCACTTTCTGTTACTAAGTTGGGAGTTAGGAAGTACTGAGCCTGAGTCACCTTTTTCTTTTGGGAGGGAGTCATAAGATGCACTGTCATGAAGTTGTTCATCCATTCGGAGGGTCCCTAGTCAATGCACTTTCTCCTTTAGAACTGTCAGAGTTCTCTTTTGGTTGTCACATATTATTTCTAGGATATATAGTTGTACATATAGAGGGAGAGCAGGGAGAGTGATAGTATAAATCATCTTATCTGGACTGGAAGTCCTCTGACTTTAAGGGCTCATCTGATTAGGTCAGGATGTCCCAATTAACTGTGCCATATGTCATAACCTACTACTGGGAATGATATTATAGCACATTCAAAGGTCTCATATTCCATGGCTACTGTAAAAGTCATTGGGGGTAATTTTAGAATTCTACCACAGAAGGCATATATGAATGTACTAAAGCATTAAGTAGGCAGTTGTTATCCTCTGGAAGGTTGGCACATGTTAGGATATAAGAAGCCAAGCACTGTTATAATTATTCTGCTCACTTTAAATGAAATAGATCTAGTATCAGAAATACTCAGTAACAGGGATACCTGGGTGGCTCAGTCAGTTGAGCGGTTGAGCATTGGACTTCAGCTCAGGTCATGATCTCGAGGTTTGTGAGTTCGAGCCCCTCCCCACCCCCATAGGGCTCACTGCTGTCAGACTGTCAGTGCAGAGCCCGCTTCAGATTCTCTGTCCCAGCTCTGTGCTCCTCCCCAGCGGTCTCCCCAAAATAAATAAATATTTTTTTAAAAAGAAATACTCAGTAACAATCAGAATATTCAAACAACTTTCAGAATTTAATGTGAGTTTCAGAGGTTCATTCAAGACTTCATTTCTGGAGGCCCCTGGGTGGATCAGTCAGTTGAGTATCCGGCTTCAGCTCAAGTCATGATCTTACCATTTCTGAGTTTGAGGCCTGCCTGGAGCTTGCTACTGTCAGCACAGAGCCTGCTTTGGATCCACTGCCCCCCACCACCTCTCAAAAATAAAACATTAAAAAAAAAAAGACTTTGTTTCTAGCCACACAAATATCTTCTGTGTGAAAAATATTCTAGCTCAAAGATATATCAAAAGACATCATCAGCACTCCCCATTTATATTTCATGTTTCTGTGTAATTACTGTGGCTGCCAACAATTCACACAGAAAATAAAACTTAGTGATGATACCGACTTTAAATTTTTAGAACAAGTTTATACTTAACATTGTCCATATTTATATCGGTTGCACATTCTACAATATTTATGGCTATTGCTTTGGTTATAATACGATGTACTCTCACCTAAGCCAGGATTGAAAATTTTAAGCAAAATTTGCTGGTTTGGCCAATATACAAAACAACAACAACAGAACAACCACCCCCCCTCCCCCAGAAAAAAATCTCCAGAGCTTCCAGGCTGAATTAAGAGAAAAAACCTTCACTATGTTTGGATTGGAAAGGAAGCATGACCTAAAATTGGATTTTAAAGTGTCATGGTTTTGGTGTGCTCGCTTCGGCAGCACATATACTAAAAGTGTCATGGTTTTGGGATACTTTTATGGGGACAACTAGAATTGAATTAAGTAGGTGTGTTTTTGAACTTGGGTTTTACCTTTTTACCTTAAACCTTTCAGACTGCAACTTGGGAGGCTGTAAGCAGTAATTGGATGCTTTGGGTCACTCACATAAACATTGAGATATATAAACCATAAGACACTTTATAAGAATTAAGGATATGTTTTTAAAAAATGTATATGAACTAAACTTATAAATAAAAAGAAATTGAAACCTGAATATATTTATATAGCAAAACTTGAAGAAATACCTATACTGGCTTCTTTGCTTAGTAGTTTACAATCACAGCAAACCAAAGTGTGACGTGTTTAAAAGCAATGTAATTAACTTCTATGGGGTTGTCATCTCATCATCTCATCACTTCTAAAGATAAAATGTACTTGTTCTCTCCTTTATGGTGTCAGCTCTGAGTAGATGAAAGGAAAATTAAAAAAGGATTGTTAAAGAGTGAAGTCAAAGAGCAAAATGGAGGGCAAGAGTTAGAGGCAAGAAAGCATACAGAGTTTGAAGAGAATTGGGAATGCTGGTTGTGGTAGATGGTCTCTGATCTGCTCTTTGGATCCACTGGCCATCCTTCTCTGCCCTGTTTTGTGATTCCAGGAGGCTGACCTTTATCAGCTTCATCAGTCTCTCTTACGGTTGTCTTCAGGTTGGGTTTCGCTAATGTAAACTACCAACAGGATATTATAAATCAGCAAAGAAAGGGAAGGGTATTTGTATTTATTTCCATGACCCTTTACTCCAAGTTTTAGATTGGCACTGGCTGCCTTTTGTTCATCTAAGGTCACAGCTCTTGTTGGATGGCCTTTTTCTTCAACTACAGGACACTGTGTCTGGGTTGCAGGAACTACTACTTCTCTATGCCCCTTGAAGCCTAGTGGTGATAATACTGGCTTCTCACAGTTGCTAGCCTAGGGTACTTCAACATCTCTTGGTTTCCTTTCATTCTTTATACACTTTTAGTAAATAGTCTCTTCACTAAATGCTATTCCATCACCATTTTCAAGTATGCCATCAATTTTTGCCCAGGACCTTAACTGATACGTTGGTAGTAGAAAATGGGAGAAACTTTAAGGTAGTATTAGTGAGTGATATGAACTGCTAGGAAGAGAGATAGAAGACAAAGTTTTTAAAGCTTTTTACAGCATTCTTTGAATAACATTAATTTTTTATGTGATTCTAATAAATTCTTAACTTCTTAATTATTTTGGTTGCATTCCTGTTTCTTTGTATGCACATCTAAGATGAGACAGGGCTATGAGATGTCTGGGATTTACATGACTAGATAAGACTACTAGGATCCATCTGGGTTGATTATATCATATTAAGACATTTCTCTCATGGAATTGGGAACATTCCACCTGAGTGTACCTGTTAAGTTTCTTTTAAGATGAAGTGATCTACTATGGTGTGAAATTTGTTTTTGCTGTCGGATAGGATAATATTGCTTGTTTTTTAAAATATTTCCTTTTATTCTGGAAGAAAAAGTGGACAAAGTCCAATCAGTCCTTCAAGAACCTATAATTCAGTTCTGATTGTTACATTTGGGTCAAATTTTAGATTAGATTCATATTGCTGTATTTAAGCATCACTCCAGAAGTGGACATAAGCAGGTGACTACTGTTTGACCATCACTATAATACTTTATATAGCTGAGAATTCAGATCTCAATTAGAATTTTCTCTCTCAGCAGAACCTGCTACTTCCCTACGACAAATAGGACAGGTGGAGTTCTCTGACAGCCAGCGATCGATACAGTGGACATGAAATTCATGGGTGCAAGGTAGGATGCGAAGTTTGTTGCCTTCTGTGTACTCGGTGATGCAGATGGTACAGGCTTTTAATGCACCACCTTCACCAAAAGATCTTATAGCCAAGTTGTCAATCTGTGCTTTGGTAAGTCCTGTATGTTGGTCATGATCATCTTCATTTAAGAGGAAAAAATGGTCCAGATTAAGGGAGGTCCAAGAGTCACTGTCATCAAATATTATTGGGCTCATAGATCTATTTTCTCGCCTGGTTTCTGATGACGAGCCTGGTGGTAAGCTTATGTCATTACTGCCTTCAAACATTGCTGAGCTAATTTCTGAATATTCATCCCTGGAGCTGGAACTGGAAATAGGAGTAGAATTGGAACTAGACAGGTAATTGGAGCCTGAACTAGAAATCAATGTAGAACCTGAATGGAAATCAGAACTAGGATTTGAATTGCAATCAGAATGAGTCCTAACATCAGACGCATCTCTTCCATTTTGTGACTCTTCCCTTTCCATGTTTGGACTTAGGGGTGAGACACTGTGTACTAAATCAGTGTCACTGGCCGTGAGGTTACCACTTAAGCCACTGGATCCTGTCACTGTCTGCCTTAATGTGCTCTGAATTGCAGGAGGTGGTATATCATTGAAACCAGTAGTTAAAATAATATGAAGAGAAGGAATTCTGGCGTTCCTGATATAAGCTCTTGCATCTGCCTGTTCAGAATGTGGAAACATATCCCTGCGTCCTCCTTGTTCACTTTCTAAAGTGAGAGCGTTGTTTGGCGTCTCAGATGTTAACTGAATTCTGGTAGCTGTGCTGTCTCTTTGAGAGTCCGCCCTAGGATGAACTTGTCCTACTTCACAATCGAACTGTATGGTTGGATTTATCTGTCCCAGTCCCTGAGATTCACCATCATTGGTTGTGCCTGGAGAATTTTCTTCTTGAAGTGCACTGCTTGATCCAGAAGTTGCAGCAAGACCCATATTTTGCAGCTCAAGTCCAGTTATTTGCTGTCTTGATGTTTCTTGGTGCTGAATCCTAGAAAATCTCTCAGTCTCATTTACCAGAGGCTGCTCAAAAGTTGGAGATGTTATACTATAATGAAATCTTCCTAAAAGTTCACTCACTCTGTTTGGAGCCGGACTACTTTCAGTTCTTGCTCTGGTTCTCCGATGATCAGGGCTACTGCTTCTTTCTCTTCGCCGACCTCTGGTAACTGGGACTTGTATTAATGCTTCAGTTGTACTTTGTTCTGATCCAGGTGATCTTATAAATGTTGATTCAGATTGTGTGTTTTCTGCTTGACTTTGGCTGTTTTCCATGTTGTATGTTCTGGGAGATCTTGTAGATGCTACATATTCATTCTCTGGATTTGGGCTCCCATTATTAGGGTTAGAATTTACTTCTAAACTGAATGTGGAGTCATTACTGTCTGAATTAATCTGGATTATTTCTTCCCAAGATTGGTTTTCTCTTTGCCCACTTGTCACATATTCAGCTTGTCCAAAAGTGTTCAGCCAGTCTAATAGGTACTCACCACTATTATCGGAAGACTTTCCTCCACCTGTTAACAAAAAGAAGTGAGGGCATAAAGGAACTACCAAAAGTAGAACCATCATAGAATAGCACTCTGAAACTTTGTTGCAAAAACAAACAAAAAATTAGAACTTTAGTACTCAGATATTTTAAACAGATTTCACATATATAGAGTTAATATTTTGTAAACTACATTTTCTAGATTTACAAGAAGAGGCAGGAAAGTTTGAGTTCCTTCTGAAAAGAATTAATTGTAGATAAATTTAGAGAATCTTTTTTATGTTTTCAAAGGGAATCAGGAGCAAGTCTATTTTCAATATTTCACCATATACACGGGCTTGTGTACTACTGTGGGAGGAAAGTCAAGAGACATTTTTTTACTCTATTGTCAAAACACGAATACAATTAAACAAGGTTAAGGTACAGTGCTAGTATTTTAGTCTGATTTACATTACTGCCTAATTCTCATGAGCCAAAATACTACTTTTTCTAGGCTCTTAAGTTGTTTTAAAATATAAGACGATTGTAGCCATTGCCCAAATTTAAATAAAGTCTATAGGTTTTTTTTTTTAATTTTTTTTTCAACGTTTTTTTAATTTATTTTTGGGACAGAGAGAGGCAGAGCATGAACGGGGGAGGGGCAGAGAGAGAGGGAGACACAGAATCAGAAACAGGCTCCAGGCTCTGAACCATCAGCCCAGAGCCCGACGCGGGGCTCGAACTCACGGACCGGCGAGATCGCAACCTGGCTGAAGTCGGACGCTTAACCGACTGCGCCACCCAGGGGCCCCTAAAGTCTATAGGTTTAAAAGTATTTGAATACTTCTTTTAAAAAGGGTGGGGGGAGGACAGCTCAGTCGGTTAAGTGTCAGACTTTGGCTCATGTCATAATCTCGCAGTTAGTGAGTTCTAGCCCCATATTGGGCTCTGTGCTGACAGCTCAGAGCCTAGAGCCTGCTTCAGATTCTGTGTCTCCCTCTCTCTCTGCTCCTTCCCTGCACTCACACTGTCTCAGTCTCTCAAAAATAAATATATTTTAGAAAATTAAAAAAAAAATAAAAATATTTGAATACTTCTTAATGTGACAGGATTTTGTTTTTTTTGTTTTTTGTTTTTTTTTTTTTCAACGTTTATTTATTTT